GTGGTGTGAACATGCATCCCTCTCTCTGCGAATGAGATGCAGACAGAGGAACCCACCAGCGCAAAGGCCCTGAGATGCAAATGAGCTTGGCATGCTCTGCTCCCGGAAGTGGACGGGGGCCAGATCAGTCACCTTGTGGACTAAGGGAAGAAGTTAGTATTTTATTCTAATGGTCAAGGAAAGCCCCTGAAGGGTTTAGACCCAGCAGGGCAGTCATACGATCTGCCTGAGACATGCAAAAAACACCAAAAACCAAAAACCAGCTCTGGCTGCTGTGTGGAGGATACACTGGAGGAGATGAGAGCGGAAGTGAGCAGCAAGTTAGGAGGCTACTGGGCGAACTGTGTGTGTCTGCAGAGGCTATTTTGTTGCAGTCTCCAGTCACATGGCTCCTGGATGAACAGACGTTTACTCATGAGAACAGAGTATCAGCCAACAGCTCCTAACCAAAAGTGGGCATGTGGACCGCCAGGGAGGTCTGTCTCACCTAGGTATGAATTCCTTCTAAAATCTTCGACTTACCATTGGCTTCCCCTAGTTCTGTACATTAAGTTACTCTAAGTTACAGATTTGTAATGAAGAAAAAAAAGTAACCCACCAAACAAACACGTGATTAAAATGAATTATCTTAACCTTGGTGCATCATTCAAACTTAGCAAGTGCTCAGGAGAGCAGCCTGCCTTTCTAATTTTAGGGCCTGCTGTGTTCAACTCCTCTTCCTTTTCAAGCTTCCTTGGTCTTTTGTGATTAATTGTAGAAACAGGGGAACGACCTGTTTAAGAACAAGTGAGTCATGATACAGCTTAATATCTGGAAACCTACAATCACCCTCCTCCACGGAGAATATCACTTCCAAGTATGAAACCCTCCTGCTTTAAATATTCCTACCCCGCGTTGATACCACAGATATTGTGGTATCAATATCTTCCTGCCCTGAAAGAGAGGCGGGAGAGACAGGCTAGGGACCTGCAAAATGCAGAGAGCCCGCAACGGGCAAACTGCCTCCGGAAAGTGCAAACTGCCTTTGTCTTAGGCAGGTTTATATCAAACAAAACCCCCATAAAACCTCGCCTGTTGCAGAGCGAATTTATAAGCTCAGGCAGGCTCCCCAGGGGCCATTTCCAGCATCAGTCCTCAGGGGCAGGTTAATTTGATTATTTGTACATCCACTATCTGATATTCCTAAGCCACTTGTAGGGGTCAGGAAGAATAAACAAGGAAACCACCCTATTTATTTTGTATCCCAACCAGTCCGAAGGCTATTATTACCCAGATCCACCATTTTTTTTTTTTTTAACTCCAAAGAAATAAGGCAATAGTTTCAAATGGCTGTCATGAAAAGCAGGCAAGCCGACCCTGTGGATCCTGCAACACAACAGCGATGCAATGAAACAGCCACGCCCCTGTTCCGGGGCAGTTCCGTGACCATCTCAGGTACAGAGAAAACTACTCAGGTAACTGGAGTCCAGATAAAAACAGCGGGTGATCAAATTAGGTTATCAGACCCTCATCCGCTCACTCTCTTTGGTTCAGCAATATGTTTCCAGCGTCCGTGCTGTGCCAGGCTAGGGGCCTGGGCTCTTCGCTTTTAAAGGGAAAAGACAGGATCTGCTCACGGAGCATCCACCGCGTGGGCGTAATCATTAAGCAATGCAACACCGTAAGAACACACACAGGCTTTCACTAAAAGGACCTGTGTGCCCTGCCTGCCTCACGCACGAAAGCCTCTTCCAAACCTGATGCCAGGGACAGTTCACAACTTTCATGAGAAAAATCACTCCCGGCCGAATCCTCTGACCTCCTCTTGCACCCGCATCAGGACTGCCCACTTAACCACGCCCCCTTTCCAGGTCTGGCTCCACCCCACTTTTGGCTGCTTTCCCCAAACAATTTCCACACTCTCAAAGGGTGACCATGTGCCAAGAGGGAGGCTTTGAAAAGAATGTGCTCCCGGCTTCCGTGCTATTCTGAGCGGCGTTCCAAAGATGTCTGAGTGGTGACAACTTCCACCGTGGGGCTGAGCGGAGACGCCCCCCAGGGCCCCGTGGGGGGCTAAACTCTGAAGGCCCTGTCATCAACCAGGCACACGTCTCACCGGCCAAACCTGGGGAGGGGGAGAAGGGGCGCTCCACTGCCCGGCAGCCGCCTCATCATCAGCGCTGCTGCGGACGAGGAGGGCACGACTTCAGGGCTATTTTTAATTCCAAGCTAAATTAATTTGGTGCAGAAGTAGCAGGAGTCCCTTCCCTTTGTGGGAAATGCTTCTGCTGCGGCGAATCTGGTGCATAGGAGGGCCCACCCTCCGGGGATGGGAATCAGCACAGGAGACGTGGTTAGGCTTATTTCTCTGGAATAGCTTGTTTTTAAGGCGTCCCGTGTGCCGCAGCCCATGTGGAGCGGTACCTGTGGGCGGGCGCCGGAGTGGCTTCAGGACCTGGCCTGGGGGAGCCCAGGGCGCTGTGCAGAACACCGCGGTTTCCGTGCAGCTGTTCTTGCCACAGGGCTTCTTGCAAAAAAAATGCGCACACACAGTCTGAACAAGGATAAAGGCAGGGTGTATTAAACCGCACCTCATTTTCAAAGTGGAGCCATCAGCTTCTGAAGTGCACCTACGTTTGGGGGGGACAGCCTGGATGCGTCACCTGAGTTTGTGTGCCCCCCCGGATAACAGCGTTCGGCAAGAGAGGTAACTCCCTTAAGCAGGGGATACTCGAAAGCACTGGTCTGCGTGTTTGTAAAAGAAACTTTGGAAAAGAACTATAATCCGTTTAACATGTCAGCACCTTCAGAAAGCCTGCCCGCATTCTCCCATTAGATGCTCTCCCTCCCTCCACTTACACTCAAAAGCATTTTATTTCTTCGCTACGTATGCAGCTGGCAAATTCATTTAAAGGATGTTTCTATTGATTTCAGAGAGAGGAAGGGAGAGACATAGCAATGATGAGAGAGAAGAATCATTGATCAGCTGCCTCCTGCACGCCCCCCATTGGGCATTGAGCCCACAACCCGGGGCCTATGCTCTGACCCAGAATGGAACTATGCTCTCCTGGCTCACAGGTCAACACTCAACCACTGAACCACACCAGCCAGGCCAAGTAAAATCATAACGATTGGCCTGCTTCACTCATCCTTGTGATATAAGAGAATGTATTGGGAGGGCAGGAATGAAATTGTCATCCCCTTCTCATCTTCACAGAATGAAGTCCTTACATATTTAGAGGTGGAATGGGATTGAGGGCTGAGGACAACTTTAAGACCACTAAGTTCATCCCCTATATTTATTTTAAAAAGAAAGAAAGAAAGAAAGAAAGAAAGAAAGAAAGAAAGAAAGAAAGAAAAGAAGAACACGATCTAGAGAGGTTTGTAGTGAGCTACCTGGTAGGACAGAACACCCAGCTGCCACGCCAGGGCCCTCCTGAGCTCCCTCTGCCTCCAAATGCCATGTTTTTAGAGCCTGCACCTTTTACAAACTTTGCTTTACTTTGTCAGCTCAAGAGTATAGAAACCTTGTGGGTGTAACTGGGTTTGCTCAGGAAATTGTCTTATTTCCATAGCAAAGATAAGAGCACACTTTGAGAAAATAGATTTGCTAATTAAATTTCCATATTTTTTGTTTTAAATGCCTTGAGTTTTGTTATAAACGAAGCTTTGAAATGTTAAATTTTAGACAATTTAGCAGCCTTAATATTATTTTTTTAAAAATTCAATTCGTTTCTAAGACACCAAAAAAGAACTTGAGAGGAGAGAATCCTCAAGACTGTTGTGAAGAACTGAAAGCAATTTTCAATTTTGCTTTCCGGATGTACAGCCCTCCACAGCGTCCAGCTTCACAACAGATATTACTTCTGCTTCGTGTGTGTGTGTGTGTGTGTGTGTGTGTGTGTGTGCGCGCGCGAGCGCGTGTACACACTGTGGCTTTACAAGCAGGACTGACATTGGTAGGATTCTCTGAAAGGGCCACTTTGCAGCTTTCCTCCCTTAAGGCGAACAGCTAATGCAGTGTTTCCTAAAGTGTGGTACGCATACCCCTAGGGGTACGGGAAGAGTTTGGTGGGGGTACGCGTTGCACCGGAGTTTGGTGGGGATATGCACTGCACTGTGCTTAGCTGCGCCTAATTCTACGTTCTCATGAGTACGAGGGGTACTCAGCGTTACGAAAATTATAGAAGGGGTACACATCTGTCAAAAGTTTAGGAAACACTGCTAGAACAACATTGTTTTCTTCAGTTACAATATTACCTTCCGTGCAACAGCCCAAGGCTCCTTCCGCTCCATATGGGAGGAGGGGGGACACAGGAGGCCTATAGTTGTATGCGAAACAGAGTTTATTCTTGTTGTATTATTTATTCACTACTGCATCATGGTCCACATGGACAACTGCAACCCTGCGCTGCCCCACCCTGTCTCTGACGTCCCACCCCCTCGGCTGACCCTGTCTTGGGCACGCAGACGCTGCCACAGAGATGCTCCTAGAGACAGGCAGACTCACAAGGCAGGGGAACACCACCACGGCGTCAGCCATTGCAGTTATGAACTTCTTTAATTCAACAGGAGGACTTGTAACCCGCCATGAGAGGCAGCAGGGCTCTCGCTATACGAACCAGGAATAGTGTGTCATGCGGGCCAAACGCAATGGCAGGCCTGGTGTTTGGTCAACTGAGGGGTGATTCGCTATATAATATGTATATGCATCTTCGGGAAAGACCCACATTGTGTTCAGGGAAGCTACTGCTACACATTTGGTGGAGTTGGTCCACGTGGCTGCCTAGAGGGGAGGACGGAAGAGGACCCGCCAACAGGAAATTCCCCGGTCCCCACGTGGTCCAAACGGGGCTTAGAAAGACCGTGCGGCCATTCATTAGCACAAGGCAGACAGCATGCGACGAACTGGCAAGTCTTCCCATCCACAGTGTGGGCCCCAACAACAGCGGTCCAGGCATTAAACACATTGAATGTGGAACCCGCGTGGGCATCGAGCAATAGTTCCCCAGGTTACTTACATCCGTGTCGGGTCCTTTATCCGCACCCGGACAAGAAAAAGTAACAAATTCATGGCACCTCTTGTGAACCACAAAACAGCAAACTGGAGGAGAGAAAGAGAAAAGGAGCGTTAGAACAGACTGCATTTAGCATTTACAAGCTTCCCACATGGGCTCTGCACTGCTAGGAGCCCATTTAATTTCAGGACAGCCAGAACCTCAGGCATCAACCAGAAGGCATTTCAGTCAAGTCTCAGCAGTATCGGTGAGACTTACAGATAACAGCACCACAGGACGCCAGCACTGACCCTGCTGAGGATGCCACACCATGGTTCCCGCTGTTCGCAGTTGAATGCGAGAGCCAGAGGCTGTCAGACAGTGTCTCAAGGTATAAACCAAGGGTGGCAATGTAAATTACTCTGCACTGTCCTATATATACCAACACACTCCCACTCATGTGCAGGCTTATAAACGTCACAACCTGCAGGCGACATAAACTATAGAGCGTCTATAACTATAAATAATACATGGATACCCCCAAATGTGGGCTACAGAACTTCCTGAGCAAAATTCTGAACTGGAGACACTCATGAAGACATAAACCCAGTTTATAGGGAATGATAGCCCTTTGAAATGAAGAAAGGCCGGGGAACACCCTCATGCCTTCTTGTTTCTGCCTGCTTGCCACACACAGAGAGAGAGACAGAGAGACAGAGAGACAGAGAGAGAGAGAGAGAGAGAGAGAGAGAGAGAGAGAGAGAGAGAGAGAGAGATGGATAAGCCCAGCGGATGAAGTTATGGGTATGCAGAGGCTGGGAAGTAGGATAGGTTAGACTGCTTTCTCTTTAAAAAGTTGTCATTTAGGGTTGCCATAATACAATGCATTGTAACGGTACATTTAACAAAAGGAAAATGCAGGCTTGGCATTGAGCAGGCAGAGCTGGGCCTATGAGAGAGCCACCTATAGGAACATGACGATTGCAGAGCTCTTCAAAGGGCATCGCTTTGGAGCAGGGATGCCCTGGATGAGGGTTCTTGTTCACTGCCCTCGGTCAGGGCCGTTCCACCGTGTTCCTGCGGAAAGCATGTCCATGGCCACACTGTAAGGATGAGGAGGAAGGCAGAGCCGTGATGCACACATCAGCCTCCCCTGCTGCCTCTCCCCAGGCACAGAGCCACCCTTCACTCACCGGAGCCAGGGAAGTCACTAACGGAAGAGGCTGGCGGGAGCTTTACTGTGTTTTTTCATGGTGTTTTATGGACACAGTGTTTCGAAGGGAAAAGAAACATTCTCATTTCCTACTTAATCATTCAAAATTCCCGGTCTTCCATCTCTCTTTCCCCCCTTTCTTAATCCATCTCAGCACTCTTAAGAAAACCCAGATTCATCAAATCCCTTTGGAGGGACAGTTTGTCCTCTGTATTTGTCCTTTCTATCCCCACTAACCCATCCACGTGACTGTACGTCTCCAGCTAACACTATTTCTACACTATGCCCCCCAAATCTCACACCTTGTGTTTTCCTGAGAAGAACCAGGCCCTCCCTGCACAGTATAATTTACAGCAGCACACAGCCCCACCATCTGCCCCAGAATACTCCTTCCCACCGGCCTAGGAGCCCTCTGCCTTCCACAGAAGTCTCGGACCCAGACCTGCCTGGGAGGCCCATTGGAACATGGAGAAAAGGCTCGTGTGTTTCCAGAGACACATTTACACGCAGGTCACTGGAGGGAGGAAGACTCTGAAGGCAGGCCTGTCCAAAGACCACAGGTTCAGAACGGATGATCTGAAGGAAGACAGACCCCGCCCAGGCCTGGGTGACTGAGGAGAGATCTGGATCAGCCCTCCCTCATCCCAACCTCCAGTGAGGGGAGCACCTCAATATTGGGGACTCTGGCATTTGCCAGGGAAAGGCTGTCCCAGAAACCTGAGCAAGGGCCAGAGACTCCCAAATCACTGACGGCTGGCCCTGACCTTTGGTTTCAAGTTCCCGACTCCGTTGGGTAATGCGTATCGTGTAAGACCATATGATGCACACATTTGAGAGGTCCTGCTAGTGTCATCGAAAAATGAGAAAAAGACCCAATAAAACAAGAGATATGCAGGGTCGACCTGGAGGCTGGACAGCAGGGAGTGTCCTCGGGCTGAACATGAGGAGCTATGGTTTGTGTCCTTTAAATCTGGGATTCTCAAGGTTCATCAAACCATGTTATGGGGAGCAAGGGGAAATGGGGAGAGGGCGAGGGAATAAGGTGGTACCTGTTATAGAGTTTGCTTTTGATAAATAGTTGCCTGACCTTGGTGAGGAGTGGGGCAACATCAGCATTAACATAGTAACCTCTTGGCCAGCATGGCTGAGTGGTTGAGCGTTGACCTATGAACCAGGAGGTCATGGTTCGATTCTTGGTCAGGGCACATGCCTGGGTTGCAGGCTCAATCCCCATTGTGGGTGTACAGGAGGCAGCCGATCGATGATTCTCTCATCGTTGTTTCTCTCTCCCCCTCTCTTCCCCATCCTCTCTGAAATCAATATATATAGACAGCAACCACTCCAATAGAAGAAGTAGATATGTATCATGGCAATTCCTGCTGGGTCCTTGGCTGGCCCCTAGCCCTTTAAGACACCTTTGCTTAAGCAAGCACAGGAGGGCCAATAAGACTCTGAGATTCAGCCTTGTGCTCAAAGGCTTGGGGGCCCCTCTGTTTGTATAATGAAATGGAAGGTGTTAAAATAGGAAGCTGTCCTGCAGCTAAAATCACAAGGTAAATTATTCTCAAAGCACAAAATTGCTTCCCCCCAATCCTCTCTGTGATGTGCTTATGCCGCCCAACCATGAGGGATGCCACAGGAAATGCACCAATCACACCAAGCAAAGGACGCGGGAGGACACGAATAATAAAGACCACGGGCTTGGCCTAGTCATGCTCGGTCTGCTGGTCCATGGCGCACACTAAGCTTACTTATGGAAGCAGACGAAATGGAAATGAAGGAGCGTTTTGGCCATCTGTCAGAAGTATTATATGTTTCAGAGACAACAAATAATAGTCACCTACATTTGACTCAAGAACTCATAAAAATTTCAAAAGAAAAAGCAAACCTCGTGTGGTGACGCTGCCGTGTTGGTGTTTATGGCGCTTCTCATCTGTGCTTGTTAGTTTATTTTTATTCATATGTTTTTATTGACTTGAGAGAGAGAGGAAGGGAGAGGGATAGAAACATTGATCTACTGCCTCCTGCACGCCTCATGTTTAACCTCTTAGCCCTTTTCTCCAAAGTGCATTGCAAACCCAACCAGGGAGAAACGCAGAACAGGGAGCATCCCTCAGACTTGGTGACCTCGGAGAAAGAGAGCTGAGAAAAAGGTTAACAATGATCCCCCCCCCCCCCCCCCGCCCGAGGAGGAGAAGTGGAGAGACTGGGGATTCCGTGGAGTTTGATGGGCGTGTGTACCCAATGCCTAGAGCCCGAATCTGCGTGCTGCCTGAAGAATAGCCCTCGTCAGACTGTGACAAAACACGTGGATTTGATTTGTTTTCAGACCACTTGAACGTGTATCCCCCGAGAAGACTGTTTTCACGGTTACAAATGTGAAACCAATAATTTTCTTTACACATGCAAATATCATATAAGCTCCGCTTTTCCTTACTTGCCCTGCAAAGCCAAGGTGCAGTTCACCCGTCTTAGATTTTCATTTTCATTGTGTTCTGATGTGCCGCTACCGTTCACAGTCCCCTCCAGCTAAGCAAGATTTAATTAAAACCATCTCGCACGGAGGCAGCCATGTAGGCATCTAAAAAAGGAGCTCTCGGACGCTCAGCTGCCAGTCTTCTGTTCTAAGCAAAGCTGAACTATTAAATGTAGTAGGCTCTCTGTTGGAGTCAGGATTTGCCACATGACGGCTTGAACCCCATTAATCTGGGTCCACAGGGAACCTTTATGCATATGAGGGGTGAAGGAAGGGGAGACAAGGGTGGGCCCTAGGTGATTAGCCAGGGCACCTGGGCGACGCTGTCACCATAAGAGGGAGTCTTCGGGTGAGACGGAGAGAGCAAGAGAGTAAGCAGAGAGAAGTCAGATCTCCGCGCTGGCACATCGCTCACCTCCGGACTTTTCCGGCATGGGAACCTCCAGACACTCTTTAAAGCGTCATTTTCTTCACATCTATCATACACATGGCAGAGGTCAATAGTTCTGAACTCATAAGGTCATATCATACATGCGTTGTATTGTTTTACACGTTTGACCTGACTCTCCTGTACTTGCAAGAGAAAGAACCCTAAACGTAAAGGGAGGCCTGGGCGGTGGGAAATGAAGGGAAGACGCCAGGAGGTGAGAAGGAATTTACCTGGAGCTGGGGCCTGGCAGCCCGGGAGCACGGTCCCCAGGAAGAACACGGGTTGCAGGAGACACGCTTCTCTGCGTGGTTTACACAGGGGGCTCCGTGTGGACAAGAGGAGGATGTGCTGGTGGGCCTCCCGGGTGGATGTGTCAGGCAAGCAAGTGGAAGGTCAAGGCAAAGGTGCAAAGACAGCCTGGGCCGGGGGACGGGGTTTGGGAGGCATCCACGTGGCTGACAGCGGAAGGCAGCATCGTGGTGAGGACGCCAAGACGCCGAGTGGTGGGGAAGCCCCCGTGTGTGGCTGATGGTGGAGAGGAGGAGGTGGGCGGGGAGGGGAAGAGGGGGAAGCAGTGAGCAGCAAGCAGGGCCTGGGGCTGAGGGCAGAAAGGATTTTCAGGGAAGCTCTGATGATCACTGGCCCATGATGGCCCCGGAGCCACACGCCTGGGAAAATGCAGATCACGGTGGCAACCCATATGCTAACAGGTGGTTGCTAACCAGTCTCCTTCCTTTTACTTAGTTCCAGTATCCATGATTCTTCAACTCAGACTGAAATGGAATAGACTTTTCAGATACCAACTACCGATACACAGTAATAACATCGTAATGCCCCAGTAACTGCATTATACAGGCTCATATGCTGTATGGAAACAAACAAAAAATCCCTTCTAGGTAAGCTGATGACAAGCCAGGCCAACAACGTGTGTGATGAAACATTCTAAGGTTTGATTTATATATAATTGATTTTTCACAGAGAGGAAGAG